TAATATGGAAGTAGTAGAAGATGGAAAGTAAACTTGACAATGTCAGGAAAACGGCGTTTCGTCTTGTTTTCTTTATAAGTGTGCTCAAATGTATCCAGCAAAGAAGTGGAATTAATGGCCTCTTCCAAACAGCTATCCCTCCTTCCCAACAGAAACAGCCCTGACCCATCAGGGTTTTGTGCAGGAGGTGTGGTAACACTGCTGAGGAGCGCTTGCGCTGATCCAGAGGTGAGTTGGCATGGCCCTTCCTTCAGTTTCGCAGATGGCAAAATAGGTGTTTAGACTAATACGACATGACTCATCAGATCAATCTCTTGAGCAGATGAGTTTCTTGACATCAACCTTGACAACAAGAAGGCAACAGCACTGCTCTAGTAACTGGAGGGCCTTGAGCTGAGCTCTCTGGGATGACCACAGGAGTGTTGTTCTCTCCGAATGTGCCTGGCCATTGTCCCCCTCCGTACCTCTGTTCTGCATTGCAACAACCTTGCCTTCTGCAATATGCTTTCTCAAGAACTAATTACCAAATTCTGAGTAGTTTTGCTCACGCTTCGCTTTATCCGAGCTCCCTGTCACCAGCGAATCTCCCCCAGCAAATCGGCTCGCCAAACTGCAGGACTGGCTCCTCAGCCTCGAGTGACTTGCAAACCTCCTCGTAGTTTCACCTTCCTGTTGTAACATTTCATTATGTTTTCCATGCCCCCCTTCTGTTTGAATTCCCTGAGAATGGTGAAATACAGCAAAGCCTTTTTGCCAAAGCCTACTCTTCTTATTTTCACCGACACCTGCAGTACCTGCTGACACGGAGCGACGTGCGGTCTGAACCTCCCCCGGCCACCTCCTGGGTGTACAGAGAATCACAGAATCATTTGGGTTGGAAAAGCCCTTTAAGCTCACCAAGCCCAACCGTTACCCTAACCCTGCCATCCCCCCACTAAACCATGTCCCTATTGTACTGAAGCTATGCAGAAGCTTCTCAGGCCTTCATAAAACATGTATACAGTTGTGATACCCAAGGAATCCATTCATAAGACTGTTTTCGGTGGGTGTTGTGTTCATACTTGGTCCTTCTTTGGAAAGTGTTTTCTCAAAAAACACAAAGTCATTAAAGGGAACAGGAAGAGATAAATGTAAAAAGCTGTAGAACTTCCTCTGGCCCCCCCCCAGCCCCTCCATGTCCTTTTGGGAGTGAGGGGCCCAACCCTGACCCTAGCATTTGAGGGGCGGCCCCACCAGTGCCCAGGACAGGGGCACGGTCACTGCCCCGCTCCTGCTGGCCACACCAGTCCTCATACAAGCCAGGATGCCAGTGGCCCTCTTGGCCACCTGGGCACAGAGATTGAAGCTCCTCTATGATCTTAATTGTCTTTTCCCATTCAGGGTAAATAAGTTTAAATCTTTACGCTCTTGGAAATGCAGTGTGCTTCGTGTTTGCTCTGAAACAGGAATCCAATCAAACGTGCTTTATGGGGAGTCTTGGTTCCAGCTTTTCCAAGAGCCACGTAACAGAGCCATGGAAAGGTGAGCTTGGCCCCAGCTCGGCCGCCAAGGAGCAGCCTGTGAGCGTGGGTATGATAACAGGGAGTTTGTGAAGGGTTTTGCCACCTCAGAGGCTGGTAGCTTCTAGATAAGCAGGATCGTAAAGAATAAACTCAGCGGATGAAGTGATTTCCTCTCTCCTTCCATAAAAACCTTACGTTTCGAGCCAGGTAGGTATAACAGCATGTGCCCTTGCTGGACCCTCTGTGGACAGAGGGATGGAGGGTCCGATTCTGCAGCATTGAGGGCAGCGAGCTGCTTTGAATCACCTTTCCTCAGGCAGCTCCTGCCTGGCTTCAGGAGCCAGGAAGTGCCCTGGAGATGCCGTCGAAGGGGTTTTCCCACCAAACCTGCGCACAGGACCAAAGTGCGCTCTGGATGACTTTCCCTTCCTGATGAAAAATGGATATCCAGCAGCAATAGATCAAACTGCAACAAAACCCACTTCCTTTGTCCCCAGAAACTGCCATCCTGTGGTGCAGGAGCCACCACGCGTGCTCACGAAATGCAAACCAAGGCCCTACTCTCTGTATTTTCTGACCATCCAGAAGGAATCTGGTTCGGTTTCCCATTCAGATTCTGAAGGGGGGTTTGTGGTAGATGAAAAATCATCTGCAGCTGTTGCTGAGGGATTTGAGACACCAGGCATAACTGGAAAATGAAAGGGAAGGCAGGGCTGAGCCTCTCAATTTGGGCTCCAATAATGATAATGACTCAATTGAGGCTTCATCAAAGAAGAGGGGGAGGGAGAAGGCGGTTTGATCACAGGGATGCCCACCAGCCAAGTCATAACCTGAGGCATGCTAAAGGCAGCAGCTCGGTGAAAGGAGCGGCTCTCCGGGGCTGCAATTACCCCTTTGGCGGTGCCTCCGGGCAGCGAGGAGCTGGGCCATGGGAAGCGCTGCTGGTCACCCTGGGTGAGTATGGGCACCGGGTTTGATGCCAGACAGAGCACAAGGCTCTTGGAGCTGAGTTTCCATCATGTATTTACACCTGAGAAGCTCTGGAACTTTTAAAGTTACGCCCTGGGGGAAGTGTCTGATCATCCTTTGCTCTGGGAAGGTTGGCATCAGCATCTCCCTTTAATTTCTGAGAGAATGCAAACGTCGATGTAGCTACCAGACGTCTCTTTGAAGCGAAGTATCTTAGCAGATGGGACAAAGCAGTAAAGAAAAGAGATTTGTAGCAGCCGGCACACATCAAGACACCTCAAATTTGTACTTTACAATGAGCCACGTTCTTAATTGGGTTTGGGGACGGGTGCCAGCGCAACCCAGGCTGCAGGAAACTGCGACGGCCACGCAATACAGCCATAAACACAATGTGTCCATCCCTGGATCTGTACTTCAGTTCCCAGCGGGTTTTGCTACCTGGGTGACCTCCTGACACCTGGGGATGATGAAGGGGCCCAGCCACAGGGCCAGGCTCACTTTACCGGCACTACTGCTCCATAAGGACGTGATAAGATAAGGTGCTTCTCCTGCCAGGTCTCTAAACTATGCCCTCGCCACCTGCACCCAGGAGTATTTGCATGTT